GGGGTGGCCTCGTCTCCCCATTTTCCAGTTTAATTCCTCGAGGAGTTCCTCGAGAGCATCGTTTTCATTCTGGATTTTCACCCAGAAGAAAGTGGGAGACTCCACCCTGAGGATCTTTACCCGCAGGGGGCTACGGGTCAGCTGTTGAGTATCGATCGCAGGGATTTCCATTTCTAAAAAGAATAAATAAAATCCGGGTTGAGTTGCTGCATGACGGAACATGCTAATTTGAGAGCTTCTGCTGGTTGTTCTTGCAAATCGCTCCTTCATCTCTATTAATCCTTAAGTTTGAGTGTATATCCGGTAGTTTCTTTTGGAGGGAGGGGAGGATACATGTGTTGTGGGACCGCATCGTTCTTCGAGGGAGGGTGTAGTTCGGCAAGCTCTGTCTCATTATGGTCGGAGCGAGCTGGGTGATAGTTATTCGGAGGTTTGGTTTCGGGTTTTTTATTTGCCAGATGCAACAGCAGATGAGTCACTGAGTCCCATATTGCTCCCAGCAGGTACACTGACCACCCGTATACAGTATGTAAGGCGTATCCATGTACCAGAGTATCCAGAATTAATTTTGCAGTTCTTATACATAAATATATTCCGAGCATTCCGGCGCTGATATTGCCGAAGATTAAGAATTTATTCCAGAATTTTAGCCAGGCTGACATAGCAACCTTTTCGATAGAAGCTTCATCGAGAAGGTTGGAGATCGACCCCCCGTGTAGTGTGGTTGGTCGTCCCATTACTCCTCTCGCTACGGTGTTAAGAACAGAGGGTCGCTCAGCGGGAAACATTATGTGATCCTTAAGTTCTTCTAAGTCGTCTTGTGAATATATGCCACTGGTGGCAAGTGCTCCGGGGCTAATATATTTCCAGGATGGTCTGGTTAGAGGTTTCATGACGGCTGGAGCTACTATTTCCACCGGTCTCGGCATGAGTTTATACCAGGCGCCCCCGAGATGGTACATAGGTGGGGCGAAGGAGTTGCAGGTAATCTGCGTTCCTTGGCGTAATAAAATGTGTGTTTGCGGTGTTAGAAAATATGTACGGTTTTCTCGTACTACCGGGAGTTGATCGTAACAATCCTGAGTTTGAGCCAGCTTCACTTCGACCGGGACACATTTTACGATGTGAATTACTTCTCCGGCAGATAAAGCCATGTATCCGGGGCCTTTCATGAAGTGATAGGCGAAGATGTCGGGAGAGCGCGAGGCTATAGCTAGGGCATTCTGCATTAGTCGTAACTCGAGATTGCATTGTTGCGTTAGGATATTTTGGTACAATAGATTTATTTGAGTTCGAATGTGTTTTTCTACGTAAACGAATTTTGAATTCATATATGTGAATATATCAAGGTTGTTTATACGGCCAGAATTTTTGAATACAGCGACACCGGGCGTGGTTTCGAAAATTATTAGCTTAGGGTGTTCAGTTCGAGTGAGCGTGTACCCGCATGTAGCGTATTTGCCCGTGCTGGTTAGGGCAAAAACGGTTTCTTTCTGTCTTTAGTGAATAAGCGACTTGAGATAATTCGCTTAAATTATCGATTATTCTATCCGCAAACCCTTGATATAGCACGCTATAATCAGAGAATTTACACGAGTCTGCGGGCACTGGATCCCAGAAAGTATTTCCACCTTCAATGTCAGTGCATTTTGTAGCGCTAAGTTCGCAGGCTACACCTGATCTAAGTTGCACTCGGTTATTATGTAAACGGACGTCAGCGACGTAATCTTGTATTGTGATTTTTATGTTGCCTAATACTACGACGTTTCCCCAACTTCCGTAAGGATCTGAATAGGCACCTCCGGAACACGATCCGTCGTTGTCAACGTGACCAGCTAGAACTACTGGGCGACTTGTAGTTTGATTTGGTTTTAATCCGGCAATTATAGTTCCTGCTATTTCGAAGCTTCCGTAAGTGTACATATTCTGGCACGCTTCTCGAGATGTCTCGCTTATGTATGAATATTTGCCGTTATAAACATCCATAGTGTGAGACCACATTCCGCATTTCCTAATTAAACGATCTATTTCAACCTTGCATTGTATTACCTTTACGGATTTGAAATCATTAAGCTGGAGTAATTGTATGTAAACTCTGCTAGAGTTTACACTCGGCAAGGGGATGTCGCATTCTTCGACATTTATTAGTGATAGTGTGGTTAAGTTGGCCGATGCAGAACCGCAATCGTATCCTATTATTCCATAAGTCCGTTGAGTTTTTATGATTAATATTAACATTATAATTATTTCTTTAATCCAGGGATCCATCTGTAAGTTACATAAGTGACTACTTAGTACTTGTTGTAATATGAGAAATTCGTAATCGGTTATAGGGTGTACAATTTTGCTATTTTTCTTGATTCTAATTCTCACATTGTTTTTATTTAATATTTCTAAAACTTCGTGAGGTCCGGTGTAGTGATCTCCGAATTTACCTGGTTTAGGCCCTTTTTGTAAGAATACGTGATCTCCGGGTTTAAAGGTTTGAGGGTTGATTTTTTTGTCGTGGTACCTTTTTGATTTATGTTTAGCCTCTATGACATTTTCACGAGCGTTGGTCTGTATGGCGTGAAGTTGTGTAACGAGATTTATTAAATAGTCATCATAATTAGCTAATTTGTCTTTCGGGGCCAGAGATTCGTTCGATGGCATCCTTGCAATTTTACCGAAAACTAATTCGTAAGGAGTATGTTTGGTGGCTTCATGTACGCCTGTGTTATAATTGAACATTGCGAGTCCGATCCACCGATCCCATTGTTTCTGTTCATTTGCATATTGCTTCAGATATTCTCCTAAAACATGATGTGATCTTTCTAGTGAACCGTTGGATTGTGGATGAAAAGCAGTTGTACGAAATTTGCGAATTCTAAATATTTTGGCAATCTTTCTCATTAAATCGCTAATAAAATTTCTTCCTTGGTCTGTTAATATTGATTTAGGTGCTCCCAATACGCAAATAAATCTATCTACGAAAGCTTCTGCTATGGTTTCAGCAGTTTGATTTGGTAGGGGTATTCCCATGCAATATTTTGTTAATTGGTCCTGCAAAGTCAGAATATATTGGTTTCCTCTTCCTGTTTCGGGCAAAGGGCCTACTATATCCATTGCTACTTTATCAAAGGAAGATCCGGGTGTATCTGTGATGAGCATAGGTTGTTTAGTTTTTACTCGCACTAATTTCTTTAATTGACATTGTAAACACTGCTGAATATGTTGTTGAATGTCGGATTTTAAATTTTCCCAATAGTATTTATGTTTTATTCTGTTGTAAGTTTTCGTAACGCCTCTATGTCCTCCGGTAGGCGAGCAGTGCATTTCGCCAATTATGACGGGGCGGAGATCCTTAGGAGGGTATTTAATTGATCCGTTACATATAATTAATTTTATTTCTGACTCGACAAAATTCAGTTGCAGGAGAGGTCTGATATCTCCCCATGGCACGTTGTTAACGGTATCTGTTTTTGCGATACTGATCGTCTCTAATTTTAGTCTATTGGCGGTGTCTTGTAAATCTTTTATTACCGCGTTGATCTGCGCCAGGGTCATGGTCGGTCCTTCTCGTAGACCCTCGCTAATAGGTAAAGCCATATGGTAATGTTTTTTATATTTTATGGCCTTCGCTTTTCCTAGGATTAAGGGACTTAAGCGTGGGATATCGTTTCTTTCGAACAATTTTTGAGATCCTGAATCTAGTGGTTTCCCATTAGTGTCGACGAAATAAGCAATGTTATCTTTACGTAAAAATAGTAGATCCCGTGTTTCTATTACGTTATTTTTTGATGTCTGGGTATCAATAATAGAAGATTTTTCCTTTG